CCACTTCCTACCTCGTTGATGGTCATCTTTGGTCATTCGTTTGATGGCGACAGTGGTGCTTCCTGGTGGTCAAAGGATGGAAATGTTAATTCACACTAATAATAACAGAAGCAAGCATCAAAACAAGGGCTGGGAAACCTTTTTAGGCTCATCAGTGTTCCGGTGGTTTTAAGCTCATGAGCAGGTAGACCTAAGCATCCAGCCGATTGATGCACTTCTCGGGTTTTCCGAAAACATTTATTGAACCATTCAGCGCATCGTGACGGTATTCGAGTCCTCTTGGCCGCGCGCATCTGTAATCTGAAACGAGAAATCTTAAGTTCATCTCAATTCGCTAGCCTCGTTGTCAAACCTTAGGGCCAAAAAGAGAAAAAATCGACGCCTTTGGACGCATTTTCTGCCCTGTGTGCAGTAAAAATGGAGACAAGACCACTGGTAGCATAACTTTCGCGGGATACCGTTGTCATCGTCGCACATGAAGACTACAAGAGCAAGGCCATATGATGTCGGGGTAATGGAAGGTTACAACTTGACGAAAACGTAATTGTAAACGGGGTTAGTTGACGGTGTATGACCTGATCTGATATGTCATCATTAAAGCATCAACAACGCGACGTGAACACGGGGTGCACGTACCGTACCGCATTTCTATTATAGCTAGTCAGTTGTAGACATGGATTAATGGTTAAGCTGTCCTCATAACAGTGTGTATTGTATCGTTCTGTCTCCTGATTTCTCTCACTGCGCCCGGCAGGTTCTCACAGCCCCCTCCCTGTACTCGGCAGGTCCCCACGGCGCTCTCCTGTACCCGACAGGTCCCCACGGCGCTCTCCTGTACCCGACAGAACCCCACGGCGCTCTCCTGTACCCGACAGGTCCTCACAGCCCTGTCATTCTCCATGACCCACTTCGACATGGCGGTGTCGGCGACCTTCAGCGACGTCTTTACGGAGCAGCTGACCTCCGAGGACGCCGACCTGGCGCTGACCGCGTCGCAGGTCTCGTGGATTGTGGCAATCTTCAACATTGCCAACATGGTAGGCTCTATCACGTCCAGCTACGTCAACCCGCTGCTGGGTACGGTACTCCTGGTGCAGGTCTTCTCGCCACTGGTGGCCGCCGGGGGACCGTCAAGTCGAGGACTTGACGCCTTTACAGACCTAGAGGTGCTGCGCGTGCGGACGCATTCGAAGCATCAACGAAAACATCTTTCAAGACCTTCCGTGCAAGCTATGTGGCCAATAAGTCACGGGCTACCGCTGGGCAAAGTATGTGTTTTGGAACTGTGGGTACCACGAAGCGTTTTTAATACAACGCGACGGTGCAGACATGTGTCTTTGCACCTCATCGATTCATTTATTCAGCCGACCTAATGGAATGCACACTTTGGTCTTGGCCTTAGACTTAAACATATAAGATCTTGCAAGTCGGCAGTAATGGCATGACGCGTCGTGAAATCGGTTTGGTGCACAACTATCGGGTTACTGTCGCTTGCAGCAGACATCTCGGTAACACGTAATCTATTAATGAACCGCGCTTGTCTGCACAGTTTCGAGTAAGCTTCGAGGATATATCGGATCTGCAGCTCAGCAGGCAGCCGCAGTGTTATGGAACCCGTGGTCCATGTATGTCGGTGACACAAGCTTGCGACTTTGTTTCCAGAATTATATCGCAATTGTTGTGGAGGTCGTGTGTAACTGCTTCATCAGACATCGTAACATTTGCTCTTGCGGAGGCTCACCCGCACGGCGAGCTTCGTACTCGTGCTGGTGCGATGCTGTCTTCATCTACCTGGTCATCAGGGCGACTGTGGCATAATGACGTTGCCGATGATGTGATATTCGGAGCGCGGATCGCAGGTACATGGGTCGAACCAGACAGTAGCCGCTGCATGGCCCGTCCCCTCTGCGGACTTCCGAGCATCGCCGCCTACTCTGGGTCATTCTGCCGACTCCCAGGTACCGGTACAAAGTCCGCTTAACTTTTCGGACTCCCGTGCGGCACCGCTTCCTCTGTGCCATTCTGTCGACTCCCGGGTGCTGGTGCAAAGTCCGCTTAACTCTGCGGACTCCCGTGCAGCGCCGCTAACTCCGCCTCACTCCACCTTCGACCGCAGGCAGAGACAGCGGTAGCGAGAGCCGGATGCGCTTGAGGGAGAAGAGGAGGAAGAGGAGGAAGGGAAATCAGCGACCAGCCGTCGCGGATCTTAAGCTGAGACAGGCAGTCCGCAAAACACGAAGATATGGTTCCAACCACATCATTGTTAAGACTAAGTTGATTTATATTTCCCAAGCTTGGAAAGAAGCCGAGAATGTCTCTCATTGGCCGATGGATGCCCTGCGCGATGGACGCGGCGGTGGTACTTGAATGTGATTGGCTGAGGTGTCACGTCGTGCGCATTGCGAATTGCACATGTACGAACGCAGTGGAGGTAATATTTTCGTCGTAAAACATTGACATTTCCAGATTTTTCCGAGCAAAACAATTGCAAGGCGTTTCCCAAAGCCGTGTCATTTATAAGTTACCATATTTTTCCTTTTCTTATCGCCTGCAGTGTGAACCGTTTTCTTTGATAGGCACCGATTGGACTTCTGAGATGCGCTGGTCGTCATCCCTCCGTGCAGACTTGCTGGTCTGTGCCCAGGCCTGATCCGAGAGGATACCGCGGCGCCGGACGCCGCAACCAACCACCGAGTGGGCGCCAATAGGCCGCCGAGAGCGTAGCGCCGAAAAGCAAACAATGATAACATATTCAAAGACATGTTTGTTCGCACAACCAGCCACGCTGGCACATTACAGAAGGGCCAACATGCCATATGTCGGCGAATTCACGACAAAACATACTTTGAAATAGCACACAACTCAATAGAGTAAGGGCCGTGTTTCAGGACCCACACAATTAGCGTACGCTCAGCACACAAATGATAAGAGCCTGGGGCTGCTCACGGTCAAAGGTCATAACTGGCGGCAAGGTTCCAACGCAGTGAACCAACTGTTACCGTAAATCAGGACATATTTTTTGGAGCGTGTGTGGAGAGTCCGTGTCTTTCCGCTAACTGACAAATAGTATGAGAAGGCCAGATCAGTATCATCTAGGGATTATATATCGGAGAAAAATAGCATGTAAAAGGAGGGAAGCACAATACGCTGGCGTCAAGAACACAGACAAACATCTAAGCAACCACCTCTTTTGTGAACAAAGACACGATCATCTCTCAACATCTCCTGAAGCAGCGATTCATTTTTGTGGAAATGATGCGGAAAAAATGGCAGCACTTCGGCGGTTTGCCAGCTGTTGCCGTCCCCGCTGGTCCACACCAGAGGTGGCGGTGGCACATCTCCGTCCCCGTTGGTGCGCACCAAAGGTGGCGGTGGCACATCTTCGAACCTGCTGGTGCGCACCAGAGGTGGCGGTGGCACATCTCCGAAACCGCTGGTGCGCACCAGAGGTGGCGGTGGCACATCTCTGACTTCGGTGTCAGAAATCATCCTGGGTTTGAGGCGCCAGCTCAGAGATGTGTTGGCCGTCACCGATGTATGACGGCCAGCACATCTCTGAGCTGAACGCCTCTGAGCCTATATATATACCCAGAATGGTGGCATAAGAGGCCCGATAACCTGCCTAGACCGGCCATTCAAGATCTCAGATCTGCACGATATGTGATACCATATTTGAGCCGGTCAGCACCGTATCAATGTGCAATGCATGGCGTATGGGGCACCAAGCACACCGAACGATGACCACACACAGCTAGATAATAATATTTTGGCCCTTTGCGACACCCCAGAACTTTTGGGAGGTCACTTAATGCGAGTGCTATTGCGCGAAAAGCCAGAATTCCACGCGGGTTTCCCAGAGGCTGTGTCCATGGGAAGAAAGCGCAGCCCTCACACGGGCAGCTGATCGTGACGGCCGCGACGGCGCGCCAGGAATCGGGAACATGGCGTCTGACATCCTTGTTGCCATGGTCTCTGCGACGGTCTGATTTGGCTGGGGAAAAGTCCCCCAATTTGCTGAGCACAGCATGACGCCTATGGCCGGGGGTGTAGTTTCGCAAGGTAAGCGTGTGGAAGGGGGGGGGGAGGAGCTGAGCGGTCATAATGGCGCAACCAACCCCTAAAATATGCCAAAATACAAATTTTTCCCGGCATTTGACCTACATTTCTCTCAAAGGTGGGAGGAAGAGACTTAAGCCTCGCCCGATTGCACAGTACACATCTGCCTAAGATCGAATAATGCCTTGAAACCCCCAATGCGCACCTCAGTACCTCCTCACCTGCTGATCCTGACGTGAACCCAAGTCTGCACGAGGACGTCACGGGCCTGCCGCACGTCTGATCGGCTCTGTGGGCGGGCTTTGTGCATTTGGGTGATATGGTAGTACGTGGTGCAAGATCGGTGAAAATAAATATATACTTGAACCATCTACATTTTGTGGGATTCGCCAAACATCGCCACATTCCTTACATGGTGCGTTCTCCGGTTATACGTCCTTTCACGAATAACAGTTACTGTGACCACATTTCCAGCTACAGGCAAAGTATGGCATTTCAGGGCTTTGATGTCCTACACTTCACTTGGCAGTAGCAGCATTCCAATTTGATCTCCGTGGCTGTGCAACGAAAATGCCAAAATGGACACGCATGGACGAGAATCTTGCCTTCAGTACGAGACAACAGTTAACAGCCGAATACCAGTGTCATTCAAAGTACTCCTCAAGCACAACGGCTTCTCCACCATTAGATACAGCAAGTGCACTGGTGCACTGGTTTGGCTCCGAGCTCAAAATTCTACCAACTCAGAGCTCAGAATTTTCGGCTTCGAGCTCAGAGCACCAGCTTGGCTCCGAGCTCAGAGTTTCATCAAAGCATCACAGCTGGACGCTGGATGCTCAAATCAACATACAGTCCACGCAGAACAGCATGCTGGGTCCGAACTACGTCCATACGGCCGCGACCGAACGGAAGGTCGGCCGAAGCTTCAGTTCGCTCGGCGTCCGCTAGACACCGCTGGTGTCGTACTTGACCGAGTTGAGATAGGTGGAGCGAGCCGAGGCGCCGGCCATCCGGTTCAGCTGCTGGCACTCGAGCGTCACACGCGACTGCTCGCGCCCGCTGGCGGAGCGGCGCAGCAGCAGCCGCCGCCGCCGACGCCGGCACAGGCTCTCCAGCAGACGCTCCCGGAATTTGTCGTTCATCGTGAAGTAGATGACGGGGTTCATGCAGCAGTGCGACATTGCGACGGCGTGCACGGCCCAGAACAGGACTTTGATGTGCGGCCACTCGAAGGCGGACGGGTAGATCTGCGTGGTGATCTCGAACACGTGGAACGGCAGCCAGGCGAGCGTGAAGGCCGCCACGCAGATCACCATCATCAGGATCACCTGGCGGCCAGCAGAGACGGCGTCACCGTCACCGCCCGTCGACCGACCGTCACTGTTCCAGTCATAGCGTCTGTCGCAACCGCAGCCAAGTTTGCATCAGTCACAGATGCGGCCTGGCTCGGCATGAGCGGTGATGGCCGGGGTCAAGGTGATTATCAGGCGCCGTTGTGTTGACCATCGGCTACAGTCACGACCAGTCGCGATGCAGGTATCGCATCCTAAATACTGGCTGTTTTACCTTGAGCATTACTCAACGACGCCCCCAAAACGAATGGCATGTATTGTTCCTGTCTGATTTATTAAACTCAGCTCCCCAATTCATCACAGTTAGCACTTATCAAGATGATGCGGCGAGTAACGCCTTTGCGGCGAGTAGACGCCTTTCTGGCATCGCACTTATCATGATACGCACACGAAACAAGACCCAGCTGTGACTGGACACACTCGTTGCCACGGCGCCGTGGAGGGTGGCGACTACAGTGTCCGAATACGAGTCATCTGAGCACACGGACCGCCACCACTGGAGCCCACGAGCCTTAGGCACAGTCGGGATCACAGGCATCACGGCGTCACCGCCACCACTGGAGCCACGAGCCTTTAGCCACAGTCGGGATCACAGGCACCACGGCGTCACCGCCCCGGTTACAACCAGTCACAGACGCAGTCACCACGCTGGTCAAGGTAACGGTAAGGCCACATAAAAGTCACGTAAAAGTGGCCACGGTGACAGTGGTGGCCGCCGCAGCCGCAGCGGCAGTTAACGCATTGGTGCCAGGTGCCTGTGCAATAGTCGGACACACTCAGCATGTGCCGGCTGTCTGTCCCAGCACGGCCCTGAGCGTGTGCGCTGGGGGATGCTGTAACGGCACCTCGCGGAGCCAGCCCTCCCCATCTCGCAATTGTCGGTGAGCGGCCTGTTCCAGCCGGTCCGTGCCGGCCATTTTTCAGCCAATAATTCTGGATGGCTGGCGCCGGCTGACGGCTCTTGATTGGGGTAATATTGGAGGCAGAATTGCCGTCTTAGGAACGTGGCCATCGCTCACTTAACGTCCAGGTAAGCACGAGCTTTCCATGGGATGGCAGAACCCTGTGCAGGAGGTGCGTTGCGCAATGAGTGTGAGCTCTCAGGAACTAGAAAATGAGTGTGTAATGCGCGGTAATGAACGATCCCCATTAGAGATAATCTATTCGACTCAAGCGCCGTTTTCAGAATGAGAACAGCTGGTTCATTTGAGCGTGCTTAAACTCAGCACCCTTCTGTTGGCTTGCAAATTTCATCGCTGGAAACGAAAATCTGGATATGGGAATGGTTTGAGATTATTTGCACTGAAGAAGGCCTGTAAACGCTGCTGGGAATGTAATTCAACACGCGTTCGGGTGGCTGGTTGAACACCCTTTGTTCGGATGGGGGGGGGGGTCACTTTGACCGATTAGGATCTCAAAGACTAAGAAACTAGTGACACCAAACCCACAGGGTGTGTTTGCACGCATTTGAACTCACTTGTGTCTAAATTTGAGGGTCCTAGGTCATGACCTTTGGGTCAAATTGGGGCAGGCAAGGTTAAACTCCAGAATGGTATTTCAAGTGCCCATATACCTCTTCATGCACCGCCGTGAACCTAAATGCCTGTTCCAAGCAAAAGGTCACTAGTTTTGATTTTAGGCCAGTGACCTTCTTTGACTATTGAAGGTCATGGTAACAAAAATTATACGAGTATGTTTTCATCTTCGCATTTGAATGAGCCAAGGATTACGCTAGGTGGCATGTTTCTTAAAACAAAGTGTTGAACTGGTTCACTTCAGGTCAGGGACCAACTCTGACCTTAAATACACGCATGGAAGATGTCTGTTGCGTTCCCTGATCTGGACAAATTCAAAATGAGTCTGAGAAACTACACCACAGAGCAAACTCGTGAGTAAAAAAACGGGCTGGTTTTGACCTCGGTTGGACCTTTATCCCTGACCTTAGGTCAATGGAATTTGTTGTTATCCTGGATCTAATTGTGTTTTTTTTTTTGCTAAATTCACATATAAGAAGCTTTCTTAGAGATGCATTGCTTCGTCTAAAATTCCGTTGTCGCATCATATCGAACGACTCCCTGGAAATTACCATCGCTGACAGTGACGGCCTGACTTTGACCCGCCATAGGTCAGCTACCTTACGAGATGCATCTAATTTTGTAACCTAAAAGATCCACTGTTCAGTTGAATATACAAATCCATTGTTTGACGTGGCTACACCACGCCGTTCGAAAACCATTTTGAAAAAATATTCGGGGACGGATCAAAGTAAGCCCCACCCGAGCGCGTATTTAGGTTCTAGCGGCACGGAGCACGTGTGCATTTGAATGAAAATGGTGGTGCATGTAGCAGCAAACAACCCTGGAAATAGGGCGACCGAAAAATATTTGAACACACTTCTTACCTCGATTTATGGTGAAATGTCATTATACGCGAGCTGCCGACATGCATTTCACAGCCACCAAAGGCACTTGTATTCAGTTGAGAACCTTTGTTTCAGTTCCAACGCGACAGAGGGCGCAAAAGATTGGAACCTACATATGAAATGCCTCGTAATACAGCTGTAGACTGTCATGTTCTGTTTAGTTTGGAACATGGATACTATTCCTTTAAGATCGAATCACTTTGCAAATGTTTATCGCTGAAGTGCTGAAAAGCACAATGGCTTAGGAAGAAACAGTGTCAGAAGGAAGAATCTTGGATTGCAATGAAAGCCCTGGGAACACAAACCTTGACGGACAGGTATACATGTGTGCATTTTGTAAAAATATCGGTGTCTGGCTTTTCCCACTTTCGCGACACAGACACACAGCAAGCAACAGCGGGTCAATCACGGAAAACCCGACGAGGCTGCTGACTTAATGATGCTCATAATCAGACCGCGCCTAGCTCTACAACACCGCGTGGATATTGCTGGGCAACGTCACATGCTGGCCTCTGGCGGCCAGCGGCCCCTCACCGATACAGGTGCACACACATAGGGCTGGCGGGAAATCTCCGTGGGCACACGTCCGCGTGCAATGCTTCACTGAGCGCACCGAGGGGCTCGGATCGGACAATCAGACCATCAGACCAAACATCAGGCACTGCAAGTGCATGCAAATTCTTGGCCATATTCACTGACCTCAGCAGCTGGAAAAGAACAGTAAATACGCTTGTCTTGTAATTGACCAGCGTTGAGCAGTGCTTGAGCAGTGCTTGAGCGGTGGCTGTGGACCGTGTACCCACGTGTGGGGAGAGTAATCGGGGCAGTAATCCCTGTCCTCCACGGGAGGGGGCCAGCCTGCTCAGCGGCCTCGTCGCCCTTGTGCCGCAGCTGGGAGGAGTGCTCGGATGTTGAGCATGACCACCCATGTAGTCGGCGGACCCCTGATCCCAATAGCTTTGAGGTAGATAGGACTAATTTTAATCCCCGATCGAGCCATACTTGCCACATGTCATCCACACCCTTGTGGATGACGTGAAGCAAGCCTGCACATTTCCAGGTTGCCTTTGTCTATTGTCCTGACAAATCTGGCTCTCGTGATACCGGTAGTAATTTCAGACCTAACATAATCTTGTCTAAAAATATGTACTTTGTATGCATATGTGAGTGCGTGTGCGTGTGCGTGTGCGTGTGTGTGTGTCTGTGTGTGTGTGTGTGTGTTTGTGTGCATGTGCGTGTGCGTGTGCTCTGCGTGTGCGTGTGCGTGTACGTGTACGTGAGTGTGCGTGTATCCATGCTATGTTATCTCCATCACGGTAGGCCTACAGGCATGCCATTCCACAGAGGACACCCTGGTCGACGCCGCTGCATGGGAGGAACGTCGGATCGCCGTTGGTCACATCCTCGCCTTCGCTGTCACCCCGACTGTCACTCCGATTGCTTTGGGTCGTTTTTCTGCTAGTCGACCAAGGCGTCTTTCTGAAAAAGTATCAGTGGCATGGCCTGGGTCCGAGGTGGCCCGAGGGCTCCGTTGCTGGTCAGCTGCAGGTAGTGGGAGATGGTTCAAGAGCTACCTTGCTGGTTGGCTGCAGATGGTGAGAGATGGTTGTCTCTTCTCTCCCCTATTCACGATGTTGCTCAGGGATTTCTGGTCAGCTCAAACCTATTCAGCGTATTTACGAGCTACCTTCCACCCTACCTCCCGCGCCGATGTGTGGTGCCGTATGCCAACGCTATAGAGCTGTTTTATGTGATGTAAGCAAACAAATCCTTGAGCTCTTGTTTTCGGCACCATGAGTTCAGAGTTATACGCTCATGATGAACGACCTTCAATAGACCAGGGGTACGAGTTAAACGGTGCTATCAAGCAAGTACAGACAGTGGCGCATGCAGGGGCGCAGGGGGGTAGGTGCTCCCCTTCGGTCCCGATAAGCCCTTCGTGCCCCCGCCACCGACCATTAGGGGTCCGATCTGAAGGCCCGAACAGCTCGATGGACTGGCAGGAGGGCATATTAAGGGGCTCCAGCTAGCAGGGCCTTCAGGTGTCATCCAGAGCTCTTTTTACGCCGATTAACGATCCTCTGAGTCGATGAGGTCAGGCAACATCAGTGCTAAACGATTGGCCCTGTGTCAGTCCGGGCCTGAGTGCTCATTTCCTAGGCAGGAGTAAGGCCGGGGGGCCTACGAGTTACAGACCCCGGCTATCGTAGGGCCGGGACCTGAAATGCCAGTCAGGGGGTCCCTTATACAGCTTGGGGACCATCTGGGATAACGCGAGCCTCTTTTCCGACCAGATACCGCTATAAGAAACACTTGACTCCGTGTCAGTCTGAGCCTTGAGCTCATTTCCAAAGCTGGAACAAGGTCAGGGCCCACGATGTCCATTGTTGTGTGCCTTTGCAACGGTGAGGGAGCCCTTTGTCGGTCAGAGAGCTACAGTGTCTGATAGGGAATCCTGTGTCGGCAAGGGGCACCGGGGAGGTCAGGCACGATGGGAATCCCCTATGAGAAACTGGAAGTGCGCTGGACCAGTCAAGAGGCTTGGTAATGAACG